ACATGAAGAGGATGGGGTCAGAATGTCATTTAGTGTCAACCTGTTAAACATACTAAAATAAACACATGAATAAAGCAAAATATGACATGCATCATACTACACAGGAAACTAATCACTACAGAATGCTGTAGCATGACAATAATCAACAATCAAGAAATAAGGGTTAGATATTAATCCTTCCATCTACCCAATCTAACAGCTGGCAGTTTATCTCAATAATACTTGAACATGTTCATAATTTTGAACAATTTCATACTGTAAAAAAAAACATTTTCTTCAAAACTCACATCAGAACTTTATCCCTCTAATTTGAATGTAGAACACAACAAATCTTTAGAATAATCTTAATGGAAGGGACTTAAAATGGCATGGAAGTGCATGAAATATTACCTTTCAACCACAGTAAACAATAAATATTTTGTTCTTTATGAAAGCATTTTGCAGATGCTTTATTACCTATTATACACTATTACCAAGGATACCCTCACAGTGCTGTTATCAGTCCCTACAAATGTTTTATTCAAATCACTAGATTATTTGGAATTGCTTATGTTGCACCTTTCATGACAATAAGTAAAAGTTCAGGCAGTTATAAAAGGTGCCAAAAGCACATCAAGCCTAGAGTTCTCACAGTGGCCCCATCTCCCCATTAACCCTCCTTGCTTGTACACAGCACACAGGTAAGCTCTCATTGGTTGCCTCCCGCGAGGTCAAGCAGTGACCCTGCAGCCTCCTGAGCCTCTGCATCAAGCTGCAGTATCTCAACCGTCTCCAGGTCCAACTCAGTGTCTCCTGGAAGAACCAGGTACTGATACTGCTGATACTGGTAATAGTGTAACTCAATGTAACCGCTGTCTGCCAGTGGATCTTTCTCTGAATCCTCGCCGACAACCTCTGTCAGATCCACAGACTCCATGGGGACCAGCTCCTCGTGATCTGGTGTCAAAGAGCACGGCGGGTTTGAAGACAGAGAATCTAGATCTGAGGAACAGTGAAATAGAACAGTTTGTGACGGAATTAAGAGAAGTGTATCATACATAACCACAGTGGACTACAAGAACAGGTCAGTAGTTAGTGTGACAGTCACTCTCTGTGACTCTCTTCTGTATAAAACTCACAGCTGGATATTTTCTTTCATTCACAAAAAAAACACTAATTCATAGTTACTGTACTATTGTATTATTACTATTTAATTAGTACTGTATGGTGAAAAATCTTTGCAAAAGAAGAGAGAAAACGGTCTGTTATCTGAGACTTCTTTACTTAAGTGACCCTGTAGTAAAACAGCCTGACACAGAGAGGACGACCATAATGTTAACGTGGCTATAGGTTGCTAGGGTAATGTCCGGTCATTACCAAGACAACAGCTCACAAACATGCCGTGTCTGGAAAAAGTGGATAAAGGCTAGCAAACAAAACAGTGCGTGCAAGAGAAACACCATATCACACAATACCATTTAAAAGTTTGGGGTCATTAAGAATGAAAACTGACATTCAGCAAGGACACAAATTGATTAAAGGTGACATTAAAGACATTTATAATGACATAAAAGTTGAATTGAAAAACAAAAAATTGTTCTTTTAAACTTTCTACTCACGGCAGAACAACTGTTTTCAACATTGATAATTCAAAATGTTTCATGAGCAGTAAATAGGCATATTAGAATGATTTCTGAAGGATCATGTGACACTGAAGACTGGAGTAATGATGCTGAAAAATTCAGCTTTGCATCACAGGAATAAATTACATTTTAAAATATATTCAAATAGAAAGCAGTTACTTTTAAATTGTAATAATATTTCACAACATTACTGTTTTTACTGAACGTTTAATCAAATAAACCCAGCCTTGGTGAGCATAAGAGACTTTTGAACAGTAGTGTATAACATGTCTGTATCCATAACTGTTTAACATTCATGCTCCTATATTTAATATTTATTTATAGATATGCTGTAATTAGGGTATTCTAGATGTTTTGGTCTGTTGTGTTGTATGTGTAATTGATTGTTTTTTGGAATGCCAAGATGAAACCAAAGCCCAATTTTGAGCCAAGGCTGAACACTTAACTAAACTTCACTAGGTATAACTATAATTGTACTTTTTTGTTAGAGCATACTCATTCCAGTATGTTAAATTTAACTACAGTTAAATTTAGAAGCTGTGTTCAGTTGTGGCATACCTGAAATTTCCATAGTCTCACCCAAGGTGTTCTGCCCATTATCAGCCGCCTCCAACCTGTTCAGAATGGAGGTCAGATATGCATGTATCAGTATCCCAATGAACGAGTCATTTGTTCCTTTGCCGTTGTGCATAATGCATCAGATAATTCAATATTAAGCCTTACGGAGGTGGTGTGTATTATAAAAAAGCAAATCAAACTCACAAAACAGGCTTGTTCAGCAAGTTACTGTTGGTACGATGACAATAATGAGTTTTTCTAAGAACTTCTAGAAGAGCTGGTCGATATTCTGGACAAACACGCCATAATGAGCCCTTTCCAACAGACTGCAAAACAAAGAAGGAATATTTAATTAAACAACTAATCAGTATAGACTAAGGAGTTCAGAAAATTCTGACTGGAAGTCTGACGCACTTGACTCTTGTCTCGATGTATTCGTTGGAAGCTCTTGCTCAAGGAAAGGTTGTGTCGGACCGAGTTCCTCCATCCACCGGGAGCCTCTTTATAATAGGGGAAGTTGTCGACAATCCACTCATAAATACCTTTCACTGGGAGCCTCTTCTCAGGCGAATCTTCTATTGCCATGAAGATGAGACTGCTAAAAGAGTACGGGGGTTTGGCACCGGAGGAAGGCAGCTGTTGGACAGGAATGGGATCTAATGTCTGGGGCAGTGTGGTGATTTTGGGCAGTGGCTGCAAAGGCAACAGGTTCCCTCTTTGATGCAGCCAGCTGAGGCAGGTCAGGTCATCCTGGTCAGATACTGTGGAGGGACTGAGGCAATGTGACCCTCCAGATGCCCGAGGGGTTGATGTAAAGTGAAGATAGGAGGATGGGGTGGTTGGGGAGGAAGGGAGGGACGCAGACAGAACAGCAGCAGGCTGTGGAAGAGAGGGGGATCGAGACAGAGCTTCCGAGTTATTTTGGGGGGAATGTAAAGGAGAATGGGGTGGCAGTGCTTGTGTGTATTTCTCCATCGGTCTCTCAGCTGCAAGATACAGGTCCACACATTCACCTGTTGAACTGCAGAAACACACAAACAGTGTAATTAATGCATTGCACATATACTTTTTAAACATATACTTTTTTTTTTAATAAGAATTTTTCATAAATAAACAAATAAATAACTTAAATGTATTAAACCCAGGAAGAGGCTGTATCATTACTTTTTCAATACTGAGTGCACTACGAGTAAATGATTGAGCAAAGTAGTCAACCGAGAAATAACACATTCAACTGGCGCTAAACAAACACAGGTATGATGGACAGCTTCCTGATAATTAATGCGAAATATGAATGAGAATTTTAAACAAATCGATTATTCTATCACCTGACAAACACGGAAAGCCAAGCCACATGGTCTATATACACCTGAGAAAATGGCGCAAGAATATTAAGTTACATTTTGAATAATTACCCAAGCATTCATGCTCGCGTGAAGCCTTTATGCCAAGACAAAAGAGCGACAGAACAGCGAAAAACTTACCTAAACAAGTAGGAACGAATTTATAGCATCCAGTCTCCGATTCTGTTCTCTTATAAGTTTAAAGTTTCTGTCAAAGTGTTAAAATATCTGCAAAAGAAACTGTTATGTCTCGCACTATCCTGTCCTGTCTGCGCTGTCCTTTCCCGCGTTTCCTTGGAAACCAGAAGGACGCTTTGCAGCCGGCGCGCCTCCTGCGACCCCTCCTTAAAGAGACACTCGTGAATTGAAACGAGTTTGGCTTTATTTTTGAGCTTAATTTTGGCCGTTTGTACTTCTGTCCCTGAACCACAAAACCAGTCATAAAGGTCAATGTTTTTAAATTAAGATTTATACATCATCTAAAAGCTGAATGAACAAGCTTTTAAATTGGCGTATGGTTTGTCAGGATAGGACAATATTTGGCTGAGATACAACAATTTGAAAATCTGGAATCTGAGGGTGCAAAAAAAAATCTAAATATTGAGAAAATCGCCTTTAAAGTTGTCCAAGTTGTCTAAATCCTTAGCAAAGCATATTACTAATAAAAAAATACAATTTTGATATATTTACAGTATGAAATTTTACAAAATATCTTCATGGAACATGATCTTAATATACTAATGATTTTTGGCATGAAAGAAAAATAGATAATTTTGACCCAAACAATGTATTGTTGGTTATTGCTGCAAATATACCCGTGCTACTTATGACTGCTTTTGTGGTCCAGGGACACATATTTGGTGGAAAAGCATCTTATGTTTATCTTTTGTAAGTGTTTATAGCAGCTGAACTCCAACTTAATATGTATATTGCACCTAATCTATCAAGTCGTATTGCTTGTAGACTATTGGTATCATATCAAGTAAAGTGACGTGACATGTGGCCAAGTATGGTGACCCATACTTGGAATTAGTGCTCTGCATTTAACCCATCCAAAGTGCACACACACAGCAGTGAACACACACACACACACACCGTGAACACACACCCGGAGCAGTGGGCAGCCATTTTTTGCTGTGGCGCCCGGGGAGCAGTACTTGAATTGACAAGATATAAACAATTCTAAACACCTTAAAAGTCTAAATCATGGGATTTATTTTGCTATAAAGAAGAAAACACTGCTGTTCATGCACAGAAAACCAGAAAAAGAAGGACACTTGAGTTGAACATGTGTTCACCAAGTGCACATCACAGGGCAGATAAATCAGCATGCCTCTTAAAATGAAGTCTGGATTTTGTGACACTAAAGCAGCATGGCGAAGACACAAGAGCAGTCAAACTGCTATTTTCCCATTTTCTCCATGTGAAAACAACGGCAGAAGAACACAATCCTGTAAAAATATTCAATTATATTTTCAACAATTGCTCAGCAGATGACAATGCTGATGAAGCCAATACTGAAGATCAGACCACATAAATCCTCTGTGAAGAAACACAACCACGGTATGCCACTTTTCTGTAACAATGCCAAAATTTGAAACCATCCCAGTCCAGCATTGTCATTTTAAAGTTCCTTCATAGTATAAATACTGTAGGTCATCTGACCAAATGAGTGGTGAGCCAGTAAATGATGATTGGCTGAAAGGCAGCTGATGCCAGGGTAATGTACAACCGAAAGTGGGGCTTGGCACTCGCTCCGGCACCCATTGAGTCTGCTGAGAATGAAGACAGGATCTTCATTTTTAGAGAACGAACCTGAAATAACATTCATTTTACAATTAATTGGAGAAATGTATTGAAAAACGTAAATATGTAAGCACCATATTTCTAAACAAAACTTACAATAAAAAACATGAGAGCACAAGAAGACCAAGCAAGAGCAACAAAGTAGCCGTCACTGCCAAAGAGCAGTCCACACAACACTGTGAAAATGATCCTGAAAAATAGAAGAAAAAAAAACATCTTTAATGCTATATAAAACACAACACACGATCCAGTTACAAACAGTGGCTCATCCACAGACATGTAAAATACATTATGATATCCAACCGAAACATACCCCACATATTTGTATCCACTGTAAGCAACAAGGTCAAACGTTGAGAGGTCTGTGTGAACTGTGAGCAAGTAAAGACTGAGCAACATGACAAGAACTTCAATGATGATCCAAACCAGAGCTGTGCTTGCACACAAACCCAAAACCTCTGGACTGAACCTGAACATGTAGAGAAAACGTAAAAAGTATTAATCATGTCTCATATAAAACAGTGTCAAAAAGATTACTTGAATGTGGCAGTGCTGATCATACTGATATGAATCCCATTTAGTAGGGTCACATGAGGGTTACTGAATGTTATAGGTTAGTTTGCTAATAGATTATTTTATTAAATGTATTTTTATATGAATCCCTTAGGATGTCCAAGCATTCCAACATCCATAAAGTGGAAACATCAGTGTTAGTCAGTCTCCTATAAAAACCACTATTACTCACCGTTTCTGGATTCCTAAAGCCATTCCAGCCAGTAAAATGTAAGTGATAAAAGCCATTGCTAGATGAAAACAAAAAGGTTTGATGAAATCATAAGTGCAGACAATGCAACAACTTTATAAATTCAGATACATGGTTTCTGATTTTACTACATGGCAAACGCATTGCAAGCATGGTACTGTTGCTCATACTTAATGTGCAGTCTTGCATTAAATCCTAGTACTCAAGGAAGCAAGAGTCCCCTTAAAATCTCTGTGCAATTAGGAGGAGTTATTTTTCAGGTAGCTAGGGATAAACAAGTTTATAAAATCTAACTTTCTCAGCAAGATTCTCTTCAACTGATAATCTGCCATGACTTGACTGAAAACTGAAAGAGAAAACTGGCTGTAGGAGAAGAAGAGTTTATTGAAAATCCACTACAGTGGCAACAAAATGGCACAAAAGCTCGAGTTTGCATTCTCTAAAAGTAGAGATTTAATAATGTTGTAGATCAACGATTTGTCCGGTTGCTCAGAATGAATAATAAATATTAATTACTGGGTATGTAGAGATCTGGAGCATTGACATCATGGCACGGTGTGAGGGGAGTGTCTCTGTGGTAACGTACTTCCCAGTCCTGATAATATCATAGTATGCATAAAAAAAAAAATATATATATATAATAGCATACAAAAAAACGTTTATTTTAAACCTGTTCAAAGAAGTGTAAGATAAAGCTTTTACATTTTGCAATAAATTAGAATGCATCTGGGTGATGCAAGACAAGTTTGACAATTTCATTTATAATAAAGTAACAAGATATTAAAATTGTTTAAATTAACTTTTTACGCTATATTTAATGCATATTAAATATTTAGAGTTAAAAAAAACTCCAGTAAAAAAGCAATTGTAATTAAAATGAGGAAAATAATGTTAATAAACATTAATTATCTCTTTGATTCAGAAATGAATATTTTACCTGATGTGTGTATGGGAACATGAGAAGCAACAGTTTTTTCATAACATATTTGGTATCAACTGCAAAGAAATACTTCAGCTTGTTCACCGACATTAATCGGTTAATCTGTAAGAGATGACAAGGTGGGAGAAAAATAAAATCAATTACACAATAAATATTGATACTTAACATTTATCAAAAGACAGATGCAATGCATGATTGACATCTACAGTTGGGTCAACTCTTTTCACTTCATTGACATAACATACACCTGTGATACCTTAAGTTGAACATGGCATCTCACCTCTTTGTTCACAATATCCTTGCTTTGATTGGCGAGCGATGAGCCATACATCATGGCAGCACTGGCCACTGGATCAGCAAAGAGGCTGCCCACTCCAGGGTCTTGACCCCCTGCTGATGCATCAGCCATATTATATTCTGAACTATAGTAGTTCTGGCTGTTCATGGGTGGGGGCCCTGAACTGGTGTCATCAAAAAGAAGCGGACCCCCACTGGGTGGAGATGCTCTGGCTCTGGGTTTTGCTGCATGGGGAAAAAAATCACTGATAAAGCAAAATCACATTTAGAGAATTCTCACATAAAATATATGGCTGCTTATGCATCAAAAAAAAAAAAACTAGGATCGTAACACTTTTTCAAATGTCATTCTTCACCTATGACCTGTGTTAAAGTAACTAATTACAATATGATGTGGCAAAGGGTTAAAGAGTTCACACAACACGTCATCAAACCAAGATATCTAATTAGGTCTAATTACTTTACAATCTGCATTGCACTTTGATGCCAGACTGCTCGTGATGTAATCAATTTAGGCTTTGCTGATTTTAAAGTACAGTATGTTGTTGTCCACGTATCTAAAAGAGCAACAATGTTTTGCCAAGTTCTTTCATACGTACTTGCCCGGTATCCATGCTGCTGGAAATCCATCTTCTCTCTGCTGTTTTGAATTCCAAAAACAATTTGATTAGCTTTAAATCTGCAATACAACCGATTAAAGTCTGCCACTAATATGTTGCATCAGATGTCAGCATCAGACTACTAATAATACACTAGCTTGCTATGTAGCTAATCTGAAAGATGCCTAACAAAACATGTCAAATTAATCTTGAATGCGGTACCAGAATTATTACTTAAACACTTATTTTGTGGCGGACGCAAACGATCGGTAGTCACCTATAATTTAAATTAGAAATATTGTTTTCTAAATAAATTCTCGTGTTAGCTTATACTCACAAGTACGCCTTCACCCTTACACCCGCCTCGCCTCGCGTCTCATTGGCTGATGAGAAATGTGCCTGCGTGGCAGAGATTAAAAATATCACAATTTCATTGGTTAAAATGACGGTTGCGTAGACTGAAGTTCTTACATTTTGATTGGCTGTAAGCAAGGCAATAAAAAAAGAAAGTGGCGCTGCGTAGTGCTAGGCAACCGAAAGGAAAATAAATCTTAAAACAGGGCCAAGTTTCACTGGTAATTTATTAAGTTTCACATTTATTGAGTTTCACACGTTTATCCCTTTTTTATTTTTCTGCGATTTTGTGTGTATATAGTTACAATTAAATTCTACAGTTTTCATACATTTTGAAAGACTTCCAGCTTTTCATCAATTCACAAACCCCCTCATGAAAACTGGTTTGGGAAATCCTGGCATAATGTAATGTTTAATACACTTGAATGAAAAATGTGTGTGTGTGTGTGTGTGTGTGTGTGTGTGTGAACATTAAGTAGCAAAACTAATGACACACCAGTCAGAATCTCAGGATGATATGAACACAGGTGAAGTGCACAGGTGATTACGTGTATTGGAAAATTAATCCTGGTAGTGGGAGACAAAGAGGAATGGGAGGAGAAAATAAAATGAAGGAGACGAGGTCAAAGGTCATTTGTTGCTGATGAAATATAAAGCACTAATGTTCTTGTGCATGGAATGGCCATAAGGACAACTGGCCTGCAGGCTCATCTACAGGGTTTTTACTCTACTTATACATTACAATTACAGTACATATAGAAGTACAACCAAAGTTTGAGTCTGACAAAAGAGAATGTGTTTTTGACTAAAATGTTTGACTTTGACCCGGAAGTTTGAAGTTTGCACAAGTTGGTGTGTAGTTTTGAGATTGTGTTTATATAGTTGTGAGGGAATGGTGAATTGTTTAATTAATTGTGTGTTGGCAATTGAGAAAAACTGTAAAATGTAATCTAATTCCAAGTACATGTGTGTGTGTGTGTGTGTGTTTGTGTATTTACTCACTAGTCTGACAAAAGAGAATGTGTTTTTGACTAAAATGTTTGACTTTGACCCGGAAGTTTGAAGTTTGCACAAGTTGGTGTGTAGTTTTGAGATTGTGTTTATATAGTTGTGAGGGAATGGTGAATTGTTTAATGAATTGTGTGTTGGCAATTGAGAAAAACTGTAAAATGTAATCTAATTACAAGTACATGTGTGTGTGTGTGTGTGTTTGTGTATTTACTCACTTTATTTATTTGTTAAGTATTTAAATATTCAATGAGCCATACTTTACAGAATAAAATAAAATAACAAGCTCAGTGAGTTGGAACTGGACTTATATGTCCTCTTTATGAGTTACTGTTTTTGTGCAATCATGGATTTGAGACACTCCAGTGTATTTGTTTTAATAGGCCAAACAATTCACTAGTTACATTTCTGATCATTTATGGCTTTCATTTGTTGAGTTGATGCATAATTATCATGTCACAGTTAAAGTCCATTACTGTGAGAATGCAAATAATTTAAATAAAAGCATTCATACATCATAATATGTAAAAATTTCACCTAAGTGTGTGAGAAATAATAAGATTATTATCTGATATACTGTAAATTATCTGGTATAGTGCTGGGATACTAACGTTTTTGTGATAAATGAAAGAATAGCAACATATTTGGATGGGGAGTGCCATTAATTTCTTAAGTGTCCAGAACATCAACACATGTAAATTGTTTGCATCAGTACCAAGCCTTGGGTAACAGCACATCCTATCTGGGTAAGATGCACCTGGCCTGCATGTCCAGGCATGTTGCTGAGAGTTGCAAAAGGGGAGTGTCATCACAGCATTCCATTGTGCTTAGGTCATAATTCACCTAATGAGGCATTAACGCTCTGGTTACAACCAGATATTGCCAGAAGAAATCTGAAATTTAGTACCACAATATCATTAAAAAAAGAAGGGGGGGGGGGGGAATA